CCCCCACAGAAATATTTCAGAATGACCATAATTAACTCCCTGCACATTTTCAGCAGAGCAAATCACTGCTGGGCTTACAGTGAATGGAGAAACCAAGCCATTTTCCTTGGAACAACCAAGAACGAGACTGTGCCGGAGGAAGTTCGATTTCTGAGTGATGATACGCCTACCGATGGTTAACCACGAGGATGGATGTGGGGTTTCACTTGGCCTGAAGATTAAACCCTTAATTTCAGCATCCTCTGCTTCTCTGGGGAAGGACACGGTACAAAGTCTGAACCCAAACTCAAATCCCAGTTTTGAAGCCGGAGCCAACTCCTGATTGAGCTTGGCCACCCTTCAGAGGGGCGGCTGCAGGAAGTGTTGAATCTGACACCACGTGAAAAATTCCTGCGTTTTGCTCCTAACTCGAGCCTCGTGCCTCATTAGCAACAGCACAACTGAGATTCCGGACCCATCTGAGCGCCGAGAGATTGGCGAGAGCTCGCGGCTGATGGAGGGTGAGCAAGAGGAGCAGTGACCAGGCACGTACCTGAAACAGGGACACTGGCTGCAGGTTTCGCTTGGGTGGGGATCAGAGGGCTCAGCTGGGACATGGTACAGGAGAACCAGGTCAAGAGCATTGCATAGGGTGAAATTCTGGGGTTAGTCTGTCATATGGCGTCAGCTGCTGGTTTCACTGGGCAGAGTTGGTCTGCAAAGAGAGCGGCTCCCCGCTGCAAGCCGCCACGCAGCTGCATCTCCCGCATCAAAATCCTCCAAGGGGAGGAGAGTTGGGAAAAGCACCCATAACCAGGGCAGGAGAACAAAGCCGTGAGAAGCATGCCCATGGCCAGGAGCAATGGCAGCCAGCGCTGCCGTCTGTCTGTCCATCCGTCCGTGGGCAGGAACCGGCGGCTGTGGGGCAGCCACACGTCCAGCCCAGACAGCCTGGGCTCCCGCTCTGTGGTCTGACATTTTGCCCAATGTCCTGTGTGGACACTAGGGGCGGGTGGCGCAGGGGGATGGTGACATTTGCAAGGCAGGTAAAGTGTCACCCAGCTTAACCTCCCTGTCTGCCAGGAACTGGGCAGTGGGTCCCGAGCAGGGTGTGAATGGGGTGCCCACTGCAGGGATGCTCCAAGCCTGGGAGCTGCCGAGCAGGATCCAGGGGGGAGATGCCACTTTGCACTGAGTGCCCCCCTGCTCAGAAGGGTTTCCTGGGTCGCCACAAAGCATTTCAACTTGCCACAACCACGTAGTTTTACAGCACACCCCCATTCCACTCCCTCCAGATGCTTTCCTCTGGGAAGCAAACGCAGGCAGGCCACAGAGGAGGGGTGGGCGCAGCCCTGCACTTAACTGCCCGGTGGCAAACGCCCAAAACAAGGTACCTGCACCCGGCGTGTTGTCCCTGGGGTCTCAGCAGCCCAGAGCCATCATTCTCAGGTGCCAGAGATGGGACCACGAGGACAGTGTAACTCAAGACACATGTTAGTGGCTGCTCCCAGCAGGTCCCATGTGCTGGTGCATCTTGGTCTGCAGAGGGAGAAGGGACTGCGATGGTCGCAGCATGAGAGGGGACGGGGAGAGGGCCCTTGGGACAGGCAGGCAGCACACACAGCTATGGAGGGAAGGAGAAGCCCTCCGTGTTACCCCATTAAGTCTCTTCTAATTAGGACGCCTGTTGCAGTGCTCCTGAGGTGCCTGAGGGGGTGAACGCTGGGTGCAACAGGTCCCTGGGTGCTCCCAGCTCTCACCCCCGGCCGGCACACGGCCACGGCAGCCCAACCCTGGCCCCACGGTCCTTGCCCAGACCCTGGGTTGGGAAGAGCTGCATCCCAAGTGTGCCGCAGCGAAGGCATCTGCCTGCGCTGGGCGGCCTGGCCTCGCTGACGAACGCTGGTAATGCTGTCCTGAAATAAAGATGAGCTCTGCCCGGGGTGGGAGAGAGCCAGGGACCAGGCCGGGGAGCAGCAGCCACCCCCAGCTCCTCCCAAAAATAGCCAATTGTTTTATGTCTGCTGCAAGGCCCAAAGGTGTCCCCTTGGACGCCCTGGGTCCATCCTCCACCCTGTGCTTGGCTGGAGAGCCTGAGCTTTTGCGATTCTCCATCCAGTGTGTTCTTTCCATACGGCAGGTCCCACGCATCTGGCTTGCTCTGGGAGCAAGCACTTAAATCCCTCACATGAGGCAATGGGATTTGCTTCTGCGGCCAGCGTTGTTCGTGTACGTGTCCGTGGTCTGAGCCCAGACAGGACACATGAGGCAAGACCCTCCTGGCAAAGCTCCTGCTGTCAGGCTGGATCTGCTCCTGGAGCTGGAGCTGTAATTAAGTTAATCACTAGATTGCCAAAGGATGTGGGTGGGGAGGTGGGAGAGGCTGGAAGATAATTAGAAAGCGGAGCATCACCTTGTTTTCCTGTCTCCTCACCAGTTTGCTCAGAAGTCACACTGGATGCCCCAGCTTGAAGCAGCAGCTGGGATGTCCCAGCCTCAAAGCCACGCAGAAGCACGCATGGCTCTGATGCTGTCAGCGGGCCATCACCCACCCGGGCTCTGCACAGGGACGTTCTGTCCCCAAAACATGCATCCATCCCCAAAACACCCACCCATCCCCAGGGCTGCCTCTGCTGAGCAGGAGGATGAGACAGGAGCTGAAGCAGGGCTGGGGTGGCATAGAACAGCCAAATCCAGCCTCCCTATTAAAATGTCCACATTTTGGTCACTCTTTATGCCACATATTCCACTTACAAAGGGTAAATCCTGACTGATAAATATTTCATTACGCAGTTAATCACACAGTTAGAGACAACATCACCTAGCCATAAACACGGAGTAGAAACGAGCCGATGCATTCTGCTGATATGCACAAAATGGTCTAGTACATACTTATCATATGCTTTGCCTAATCATCCATTAAGTCCTTCTAAGAGGATCCATAGTCCAAGGAATTGGAGCCGTGCCTCGCAGTGCCAGCCCTTTGATGGGAAGGCAGCCCTCGCCAGCTGGCTGTGCCGGTCAGAACTGCACGGCAGCTCCTGGAGCACTCAGTGCACAAGGAAACCCTTTGCTGATCTTGAATCCTTTCCGGGGTGAGGAAATCCATCTCATGCAATGGTTTACTAAAACTTAGGATGAATAAAATCCTTGTTTATCCAAGATATGCTAACCCCGCACGTGGAGGCAGTTCTTGGATCACCCTTACCTGTCAGCCCGGCACTAAACACAGGATGCTTCAGGAATCCTTTGGGAGAAGTAACAGGTGGAGGAAAGCCAGACCCTGAATTCCTAAAAAGTATTTTACCTGTTGTAAATGCTTTCCATTCCCATATGTGGTGTCTGAACTGCCTGGGAAGTGACTGCTCCATCGAGGTGGCTGCAGTCCGAATTGGGAATGGGGAATGGGCCCCATCAGGAGGCGATGCTGCCTGATCCCAGCTGAGTCACACGCCCTGGAATAAATATGATTTCTGCTTTAATGGAGGAAATAACACTTTCCAAAGTGAAACCAACTGCAGTGTTTCCACTGAACTCACCAGAGCCCAGTTCAGGAGACACTGATCTCATTAACTGAAGCCTGACAAGACCTTAAAGGACTCCTGGGTTTAGCTGGCTTCTTGCCTGTTCGGAGTTTTCTGGATGATCTTTGTCTGATCAGCTAGATGGCAGTTGGGATTAACTGCACTTTTCAGTGCAGCCACACTCATTCTGAAGGGGTGTTTGACAGAGGCTATCCACAACATCTCCTTCCAATCCTATATATAGGATTGCATCCAAAGCCAAGGACAATTTTAATGTACTTGAGTCAACCTCCAACCTTGTTTTAACCCACGGTAGGCGAGATATTTCTGGTTTCCTCCACATAGTAGCCATGTATTTTATACTTAATTAAAAAAACCCAGACTCACCTTAGCTGGATACCTCATGGTTTCAGGACCTGTGGGACAGGGGCATCATTTGGCCATCAGAAGTTGTGACAGGGCTGTTGACATGCCAACGTGTTCGGCTGTACCGGGGCCCATCAGCCTGTCGTGCAACCAGCTTTCACGAGCATGCAGAATTCCAACCTCCAGAAAACAGATCTATTCATGAGTTGGGAGTCTAAAGACAAAGGAGCACAGAGGAAGTGTTGGAGAGATGGACAGTTTCCCCAGTCCCCCCGGAGAGCACGGGAGCCCCATAGGAAGGAGCACAAGCACAAGATGGTGTGTCCATCCCCTCTTACACCCTTCGGCATCAACCAGAGCTTTGCCTTTCCCTTTTTAGCACTTTTAATGAGATGCAAGGCTGTACAAACGTGGTATAACTACAAACGTGGTAGACTCAGAGTTCCCCTTTTCCATATGCGATCGATCAGTGGATGGGTAAATCTCCTGCCTGCCTCCCGGGCAGTGACATCCTCCTACTCCCCGGCTCACCTCCCACAGCATCCAAGGTTTGTTCTGACCTTCAGGACGCGAGAGCCTTGGCCAGGTGAGACGCAGCGTGCCAAGGTATGAGGTAATATTTGCTATCTGGCACGCAGGACGTGTTGCAATACCTACTCATAACCGTGTCTGAAAGTTATAATAGTGGAGGGGGTTATTAGCCTGGGCTCCTTTCCTGCCTCCCGCGGGTTTCAATCAGACACCAGGTGGTTTTCCAGCCTTTTTTTTGGGTTTTTTTTTTGAGCATATAATTTTAGCACGTACGTCAATAGAAAGCAGAAAGAAAACAGAATTCACTAAGATAAAAAGGACAGAGCCCCACCAGCCGGGCTACGCCCAGCGAGGAGACGACCCCCCCTCCTCCCACGCTGGAGGAGCATCAGCTTTTGGGCTGTGTCACTGCTGGAGCCATCACCCGCGGTGTGAATCACCTGCCCCGCAGCCAGCCCGGGCACCGGCCGGGGACCACCGGCCTCCCTCCCCTCCCTTTAAAAGCCTGGCAGCAGCAGCGTGTGCCAAGCACTCGGTGCCACCGCTCCTGCCATTTCCCACCACATCTCTTGCAGCCCGGCCACTGGGAGAGGCTGAGAGATGGCCGAAGGGGAAATCACTACCTTCACTGCCCTGACCGAAAAGTTCAACCTGCCGCCAGGCAACTACAAGAAACCCAAACTCCTGTACTGCAGCAACGGAGGCCACTTCCTACGGATCCTCCCAGATGGCAAAGTGGATGGGACCAGGGACCGAAGCGACCAGCACAGTAAGCAAACCCGACGTGTCTTGGTGTTCCTTACTCCTATGATTTTATCAGCCGGGAAGGGGGGAGCTGGAGAAGACGAGCTCTGTACCAGGCTCTGTTTTCTCCTGGTGGCAACAGACCTTCCAGGAGGTCAGCACACACCCCAAACATGCCTGTAGCTGGTACGCAGAGCCCCGGGAGGCACAGGGTGTAAACTATTTCACCTTAGCAGGAGTATTAAGTCTGAAACTGGTTATCTAAATAATGGCAGGCAGGCAGAGCATGACAGACCATGGACCAAGGTGCTAATGGCAGCACGGCTGGCTCACACAGCAAGCTGGCAGCTGGATAAAAGGCTTCGGAGCAGCCTCCCATCCTACACACGCAGCCACCACGCGTCATTCTGTGGTACCTCTGCGTTTGCTCTGGGTCGGAAGGTTCAGGTTTGGCACAACCATGGGCTGAGCCAACGTGACGTTTCCCAGCAGTGCAGTGCAGCCGGGCTCCTTGGCGGGTCCGAGCAGGTCGCAGAAGGGATTTTATCCGTATGTTCTGCACATAGTGTCCCTCTGGGGAACTTTCCTCTCCCCTTAACGCAGCAAATTAAATTCCTGCAGGATGCATAAGCCCAACAGGGGCAAGGATCAGGAGAGAGTTATTTTGTGACTTAGGACTTTAGAAACACACTCATGTTACCTCTCACTGCTTTTTCTGAAAACAAGTATGGCTTACTGTATGCTGAGGGAGTTTCAAGACATTTAACATGCACAGATTTAACGGGCCATCCTTGGCCAGAGTCTCCCCTTGCCCACTCCTGTTCCCCGCAGTCGGTGAGGCAGTGGCTCCAGCCCATGGGACGCTGGGGACCTGTTGCTGGGATGAACCGACCACAATACCAACGCTCATCTTACCATTTGCACACCCCACCACCTTTCCGGGAGCACGTTCGTTCTCCATAGTTGGCATCAAAGTTCATCCCAGAAGCTGGCGGGGCTCACCAAAAAGTGACGTTTTTGTAAATGCTACAATTACCAAGTGCTGCGCTGTCTCACCTTAGAGCAAACTGTAATATCAAAAATTAATAACGCTATCCTGCCCGGCAAGGAAAGGTGCATGTTTGTCTCCTCAGTAGCTGCCCATGTCACCGAAGGCATCAAGAACCCTTTCCCTGCCAGCAGCTCACACAACCAGCAGCAGCCACCGTGCCGATGGTCTCCTGCTCTGACCAGATCACACAAAGCATTAGCTGGGAGCTGACTCCCTGCCCTGACAGCAAGAAGACCCTTGCCCTCAGACCTCTCGCTGCTGAGCCCATCCAGGCCGTCAGCAGTGACTGCCCAGCAAGCCACGGAAAAGTGCTGTGTAAGGACAAAGACACAAAATCCAAGGAATTGCTTGGGAAGTTTTAAGCTTTCAGGGCTATTGCATCCCTACAACGCTCGAGAGGGTCCTTTAAACCAACGCCCAAGGGGAGCTGGACAGGCAGCACAGCAAACCTCCCCACAGGACTCTTCCCCACTGCTTGCACCGCAGCTCCTGGCAGGAACCTCCGGGTACGCCATATCCTGAACATTTACTGGGATATAGCTGGGACCTGCCAGGCTCCTGTCTGGTTAGAAAGAAGGGCTGGGAGGAGCCAAGCCTGCCTTACAAATTCTAAGAAAAGCGCTTTTATTTTCTTTAAACCACAAGCGTACATGTGGTTTTCTCCCCCAAACTTAACCTTTCTTCTTGTTATTGTTGTTCTAATGAAAGGCAGTTTATAGCAGAGTGTTAAGTATAAACGCCGTTTCCCCACACTCACGCAGCACACGGCAGCTGGGGGACGGTGAGGATGAGCTCACCCAGGCTGGATAAACACAGCGCAGGGCAGGCAGCCTCCAGCCTGGCGTAAACCAGGCACATAACCCTTCTCAGACCCCTGCAAGAGGCAGGGGAGGACGCTGACCCAAAGGATCTGCAGAAGACAGGACTGGACTCACAGGAGCCACAGGCAGGACAGGATGAACAAGCTCAACCAGCATCTCTGGGACATTTTTCCAGAACTGAGATTCTGCTGGAGTCAATGGGGGATGCAGAGATGCCCTGGGGAGCTCAGCACAGGTTGGCAGAGCCAGCAGCAAGGCAGCATCTCGGGGGACACAGAGCACTAATGAGGACACAAGTGCCCAGCCCCTGCACCCCAGCCATCTCATGGCATGGATGCTGCCACACAGCCCAGGCTTTGTCCCCCGGGAAAGCGAGCCCGGCACCTTGGAGTGAGGGTTTCCTCTTCAGCTACTATTTCCTGTGGCCGCAGCATGCACGCAGGCAGTGAGCACGGGCAGCACTCCTGGATATGGCACCCCGCTGCGCTCCGGCACGCTCGCACCTCACCGACTGCTGGCCTGGGGCCACGTGTTTGGAAACATTTGCCAGAAAGGAACCTCCTGTAAACGATCTCGTAAACTCGGATATCCAAATGTACAAATATTTACAGAGGAAACTCCTGGAAGGGCTGCGTGCCAGTGGAGCAGCCCTGCCGGCGAGGTACCCTGCCTCTCCGCACCGACAGCTGCCTGCCGTACAGCCCCTGCACCTGGCAAATGCCAGAGCTGCTCAGCACCGCTCCTCGTAGCATGTCCTCTGCCGCGGGACACTGCTTATACAGCTGGGACAAGCACCGGCCAGAGCAGAGCTCACCAGCTCCGTACAGGAGACCTGGGGTGAGAGTAGGGAGAGAGGTGCCTGGGAGGGATGAGGCACGGGAACGCCTGCAGCTCGTATGGACATCTCAAGCTTGCACCATGTGATGAGAAGAAAACTTACCAGGACATTGTAGACCCTTGAGGATGAAGCCTGTGCTCACAAACAGCCTTATTTTCTCTCTTTCATCCCATTACTTCATGGAAGGAAATCTCTGTAAAGACCTGTAAAACCAGCAAGAATTTGTGCATGAGCTCCTTCCTCTGGACCAGCCCTTCTCTATCCCTTAACATCCCCATTGGCAGCTGGAGAGTCCCCCTGCTCCCCTCTCTCAGAGGCATTTTTTAGGACAGTATCATAATTTCTATCTGGTTTCCCTCTTTCCCAGCTGGATTTCTCCTTGGTCACCTCCTGGGGCTGCAGCACAGCAGCGAATGCAAGGCGGGCTGGGGGCTCTCCCACAGCAGGGTTTGCTGGCTCCCAGCTGTAACCAGGCAAGCACCGGGACTGCACGTCACTGCAAACGTGCACCCGGCCAATGTACTAATTAAGCATCATTTACTGAGCAGGAAACACCAAAAATGAAGAAGGTGAACCGTTATAGCAAAGATTTCACTGGATGAGGGCTTCTGCCATGCCGAGAGTAACCTCAGACAAAAAATGGATAAAAGAGGGAAGGAGCTGGTGCTGAGGCATCTGTTCATACCTCATTCAAACCAACCTAAATATTCCTGTTACAAAGCTCTATGGTAGAAGCTTAGGAAAAAAAAAAAGCTGACCAGGAGATGGGAATGATCATTTGGAAGAGTTGGATTTTGCCAGTCGCACTCTGGCCACAACCGCAGCCCTCCGCACGTGCCGGCGGGGATGCTGGTGGTTCACACGATAAATTTCCTGCCAACCCATGAGAGTGGCACGGCGTCCTCTCCGAGTGCTGGAGAGCTGTCCTCGCAACGCTTCCCTCCAACCAAAAGGCCTCTTCCTGATAAATACGTTAAACAAGAACATGAACCAAGTTTAAGCCATTTTCCGAGACTCCTGTAATTAGCAAAGAAAGGAAAAAAAAGGAACCCATGGAGAAAACCAAAGTAACCAGACAAAGAGAAAGGTTAAATCTGCTGGGTCAGGTTGGGTGTCGAGCAGAGGAGGGAGGTGGCCTGGACACCCCAGCCTGCAGCTGAGCTGCTCCCCCACTGCAGTACTAGACCAATGAGCAGCTTTTTTACCCCAGAGTTTCTAGTTGAGCCCAGCATCGGGGACGGGGACAGAAAGCCGGTGCCCCGTGGGCTGCATGAAGCAATGCAGCATCACCACGAACCCATCGCTCCTGCCCAGCCAGCGCGCTGGCAGGCTCAGACCTTGCTTTGGCATCAAATTCACGTTGGTGCCACAAACTAGGACAATCTAAGACTCATGGCTACCTACAGGAGGTATTTTTTAGGATGAAGATCAGCCCTTTCTATGCCTCCACTATCCGCCTACGACGCGCCGGGTAGCCCAGCCGCGGCACACTGCCGGATGGGATGCTTTGGATCAGGGTTTGGCAACACAAGCATCCAAAGCCTGCCTGTCCCTGGTTTAGCTCTCGAAATACTTCTTCATATGTCACTCCTTAAGTGTCTTGTCAAAACCACATGAGAAATTTGTAAATTAGAGCCAGAATTAAAACCCCAATCTCCTGTGTTCCGTTCCAGCATTTTAACCAAAAGGCTGCCCTTCCTTTGATGTAAAATAAGGAAAAAAAAATCGGTCTTTGGTTCCTAAAGCATGGCTGTGGGATTTCTTTGAAGGAGAGGGTACAAGGAGCTGCTTTTATTACACACTGCACTGTTTCTTATAAACTCTTTGTAAGCCAGACTTCCCAACAAACACCTCCTGCTAACTTTCCTAGCAGCTTGGATATTATGTCGGACAACCTTCATTTTCTTCCTTTGCCTATTTTCCCTTTACTCTTGTTGTATTTTTACTTGCAGTTCAACTCCAGCTGAGCGCGGAAAGCGTGGGAGAGGTGTATATAAAGAGCACCAAGTCCGGGCAGTACCTGGCGATGGACACCAACGGGCTGCTCTATGGCTCAGTAAGTAGGAGGTTCACGTGGGACCAGACACGAGGAGGGTTTGAGGTTTGGGAAATCTCGTAGCTCTGAGTAATGCAAACCGCAAGCAACAATTAGCCTGTTTGTTATTTTGGTAGCTGGACAGCCACTCTCCGTCCAGCTTTATTTTGAGCAGAAAATAAAAAAATAATCAAATAACACCCTTTACCTCACGCACGACTGGATCCTGGTTGCACCGAGCCCTGTGCCAGAGGCAGTGACAGCATCCATGGCATCCCGGTGTGAGCGGGATTGTGCAAGGCAGGAGCTTACCCTCCTGTGCTCGGGAACTGTAGGGCATGGACTTACCAAAAATAACCTGGTTCTTTGAGACTAGATCCATTTATAGCAAAGTGTGCGACATGTCATCCTGGTCACAGGCTGCTTAGCCTCGCCAAAGAGCTGTTTTGTTCCCTGTGCTCATGTCTTGAACCCGCACCTGCCACCGGACAGGTTAGTGCCAGAGCAGGAGCCAGCGCCAGGGCCGGCTTACAGAGTGCCAGGCTGGGCTTGGTTCCTGCCAAATAAAATGCCCAGGTCATGGACCAGCTACTGTAGGAGTAGCCCAGGGGACAAAATCAAGGGGTTCTTTAGCCTGGAGAAGAGGAGGCTCAGGGAAGACCTCATCGCTCCCTACAGCTCCCTGAAAGGAGGGTGCAGAAAACTGGGGGTCGGTCTCTTCTCCCAAGAGACAAGTAATAGGATAAGAGGAAACGGCCTCAGGTTGTGCCAGGCGTGGTTTAGATTGGATATTAGGGAAAATGTCTTCCTGAAAAGGGCTGTCAGGATTGGAACAGGCTGCCCAGGGATGGGGGAGTCACCACCCCAGGAGGGGTTCAAGAGATGTAGATAAGTCACTCAGGGACATGGTTTAGTGGTGGTATCAGCAGTGTTGGATTAATGGTTGGACTGGATGATCCTAAAAGTCTCTTCCAACCTAAAAGATTCCATGATTCTAAGGCTACTTACCTCCATACTTTAAATATGAACTTTACTGGGGAACAAAGATCTCGGAGGTGGGTCTGGACAGCATCCTAGGCAGGGAGTGCCTGAGCCAGGATTGCCGCATTAGGAACACACATCCTCCTCCCTATGGCATCGCCCCATCTCACTGTCATTACCCGGGGCTCTCTTTCAGCAGTTACTGGGCGAGGAGTGCCTGTTCCTTGAAAGGATCGAAGAAAACCATTACAACACCTACGTCTCCAAAAAGCACGCGGATAAGAACTGGTTTGTTGGTCTGAAGAAGAATGGGAGCAGCAAGCTGGGGCCGCGGACTCACTATGGCCAGAAGGCGATCCTCTTCCTTCCGCTGCCCGTCTCAGCTGACTAAGCCCTGACCCGGGAGCTCAGAGATTACCTGAACCCCAAAACCCAACCATCACCTCCTCCTTTTCCCTCTTTTTGGCTAGTATGACAGAGCCAAAAATTAGAGCTCCGAGCTTTAGGTGAAGGCTTTACCAGACATAGACAATGCAGAGCTCCTCCACTCTCCACGAAGCTTTGCAGGGATGAGGGGGAAAGCCCCAGAACCCCCCAAAGTCCACTGGCAGCCCCGCCTCCCCCGCTCTCTGCTGTCTGTCAGCAGCGCGGGGCTGGCTCGTGCCATGACCACGCTGCAGCTCCCAGGGACATGCACAAACCTGCCCCAGGCATGCACCCAGAAATGTCACCAAGGGCACCCCAAGACACCCCAGTATACCAGGGGACCACACGCTTTGACTGTCCCCAGTCATTCTAAGGCAAAAGCTCCCTGGATACACTGTATTAACACATTTATCCATCTAAGTATGTAGCTTTTAGGATGCCCTTCAAGCAATTTCAGATTGCACCATCCTGTTATCGGTGCCAGCCAGGTTAAATCCTTGCAGCTATCCTCAATGCACTAAGCTCAACCAGCATCAGCTGCAAGCCTCAACATCTCAGCCTCCCTTACAACATGAATATTGCTATATTCCTTCTAGTACCTGCCACACGTAAATTGTATCTATTTATTAAGTAAACCTGTCTCTTACAATCCATTCCTAAGTAAATCCAGGCACCAAAGCCCCTTGATTTTGTCCCAGTGAGGATGGGGCAGAGTGGGAGCATCTGAAGGCGACGTTGAGGATGTGATGGTGCAGCAGGAACCGCGTGACGGTGGCTGTGCATCGCACCACGTTCCCAGGGGTTTCCTCCCACAGCCCCCAGCGACTGGCTAAATGGGGCTCTAAAAATGGCACTAGGTCCCCTTGGTGACTCCCAAACCCTCCCTGAAGCTGGCTTTCTCCTCTCCCCGCATGAAGCAGATCTCCTGAGCTGCTCAAGAGCCATCCCTGCCACCTCAGGCACTTCAGGTGCCGGCAGTGACTGGGCACGAGCTGCACGGGTGGGACAGGTCAGCCCAGGCACCACTGGGGCAAAGCCTTGCTGAGTCAGCGCTTCTCTAATTGCTTCTTCCCGAGTGGCAAGTGAGTTTCCTCATGTGTAGAGTAGCCCAAAGCCTCTAACAAACCTTTTCCTGGTGATACTGCATTAAAAAGTAACTTGGGAGTAGGTTTAACTCCGTTGCACACACGTGACCTGTCACAGCCCGGCTGCGGGCGAGGCGTGTGCGGAGACGTGGCCGGGGGTGCCGCGGTCGATGGGACCGAGTCGGCAGCCGAGGAAATGAAAGCACGGGAATCCTTCATTTAGGGAGAGCTGGAGCTGCGGCAGCGCCGTGCGGCCCATCCCTGGCACCGTGGCACGGGGAGCGCTGCCGACTCCTTCAGCTCAGGCTGTCGGTCTCGGCTTCGAGGTGTAAATAAACGTGCTGGTACAGTGGCAGAACAATAAAGTTTGATAGGAAACGCTGCACCAGGCTGTATTTGGTCTTCAGTTAAGAAGGGCTGGAGTAAAAATGTCTAAATCTCTCGGGGGAAGGTGGAGAGTGGTGAAAATGGAGCACGGTGCTTCGTCAACACAGGGATAAGCTTCGTGAGGAGACACAAAAGTGTCTTCTCCAGCGGCAGCGCCCAAGTGGGGACATGCGCAGATGGAGCTGGGGGACCCTGAGCCAAGGTGGGTGACACAGCCTGCTCGGACACTGTGGATGCCACTTCCACCACACGGACGGATGGCCACAGCCTGTGCACTCTCCATTCTTTCTACAGTGGTAACCCCAATTTTGCACTTCTAGTGAATGGGGAAAAAACCATAATCCAGGGAAACCAGGACTTGCTGCAGTTCATGCGGCTGAGGGATGAGGTGGACTTTATCTCCTTTACCCTGGGCCACAAGCTGGGTGGGGACAGGCACAGAGCCATCGAGCCTCGTGCCTCCTAAACACTTTTCCTCATGCTTCCCCTCCCACTGCCCCACCTGCTGGGACTTTCCTTATTCATCAGTAAATAGGGTCCTGAGTGATCATGGCTGGGGACTATCATCTGCCCCACAACCTGCTGCACAGGTTTATCCATTATCTCACCCTGATTTGCAAATAATAAAGATAAATGAGCTGGCAGACCCACTGGTCGATGCGCTGAGCTCCTGGGGGGTGACCTGCGTTACGCCGGAGGGTGGGGGGGACCTGCCCAGCCCCACGTGATAGAGGAACCATTACCGCCCGGCCTCGTGCCAGCAGGTATAAACTCAAAGTCCATGTTTCCGGCACAGCACTGGGGCCTTTGCTCTGGGGAGCAGACCGAGCTCACCCCACAGCTTCCCTGGGCCCCCCTGGTCACTTTTTCCATTCCTGCCATTGGCGACAGGGACATGGGACAAGAGCTCCTGGCAAACCCCAGATAAGCCATCTCCACATGGGAGGTAGGAATAGAAGGCACTATGCCTTGCCTATTTCTGCAGCAGTAATGAGTCACTAATTACTGCACTTTAGAATTGCTCTAATTACCGTACTCCTGAACTTCTGCACTTGCTGGCTCTGGAATCTCTTCCCCAGCACCGATAACATCGCGGTTAATCTTAATCATTCTCCCAGGCAAACAGGGAACTGGCGTGGGAACAGCAGAGCCGGGGCAGAGAAGGAACGTAGGGCAGCTTTGGCAGCACAGGGGCCATTGCTAACCGGTGGACACCAACCCTACCGGCACCCTGCACCCTCCTTGCACCTCCCCATGGCTACAGCCCATCCGTGCTGTTTCTCACCTGGGGGAACTGTGGGGAGATGAAGACGAGGGGCAATTTCTGCTCCTCCTGCAGAGCTGTGGGATGCCATGTGCTGATGACCTTTTCACGGCGAAGTTTCCGTACAGCTGCCCATGACAAGGTCAGATGCGTGGTCTTGCAGGTATTTACTGTGTGCACACTGAATGCTTTGAAAGGCTACAAATATCAATTTCCAGTTTTCACTTAGAATTCCCAACAGCCAAAAAGGCATCTTTTTACTGTATACACCAACTAAAACATTTTAATTAAAAGAAGGAAGAAAATAATGCTTGCAAAAGATCTACTCTGCACAGGCACCTTCCTCCTCACCACCCAAAAAAACCAATTAAGCACAGTAGTAGGCTAACTTTGGGGTTTTCAATATCACCACATCACAGATAAGCCAGCTGGTTACCCCTGAAATGGCAAACCCCTGTGAGCATTTTACCGTTTGCCTTATTTTACACATCCAAACATGTGTACTCGTACCAAGCGTACACGATCCCAGCTCTAAAAGGTGAGCAAGTAGTGATCCATCAGCTCTGCTGCCACCCCAAACCATGTGCGTGCTTCTCATTGCCCGAGTGGTAAAACACCCTCTCTCAGCTCTCGGCAAAGGTGGTTCAGGCTAATGGCAGGTGAGGAGCAGGCGCACGGTTCCCCACAGCCCTTCATCTGCCAAGGGCTACCCCGTGGGGGTGTCAGCATTATCCTCATCTCATCAGGTCCTACATCTGCAGCACCCGTTTTGAAGGCAGGGATGCAGGCTGAACCCCTCCACCTCTTCTCTCTGTGCTGCTACAAACTTGTGATCACTTACCTGCAGTGGAGGAGAGCCGAGAAGATTGGTTTTTAAACCAGTACCTGGCAGTGTCCAGTAAGGGATGAATATCTGCCCAAATCCTGGATTTAGACCAATGAGCTGCAGGAGGAGAAGGGACAAGAGAAGGACCCAGCCACCACCGATGTCCCCGGTACCGGAGCTCTGGGGACTCCTGCAGCTGGAAAAGGCTACAGACAATGTTCCAATGGCAAACACAAAGCTGGGCATGAGGGAGCAACATGGATAGCCAACAGCATCAACACCTTGCTTAAACACTGTGGTTGCTTTCCCTGTGAAAGTCTGGGTTGTCACTCAACTCAAAAAATGAATGAGTGCATGACCAGGAGGTCCAGGTTTCTGATTAAACTGGAAAGTTGGAAAGCATAACGCCAGGTTTAGCCGTGCTGTCTTCCAACACCTCATTAACCACAGGGCATTCCTCTCGTTAGACTTCTGCCACTCAGAAGTTACCACCACAGGTACACACACTTGACGCCCAACGGGGGAAAAATGTCAACACTTTGTCTGAAAAATAATCCCTGAGGAAGCCACAGTAATTGCTTCAGACAGATGAACGAGCAAGGACATTACCCAGAGAAACCCTGCTCGCTTTGGAGAGCTTTGTCCTCAGGGTGAGAGGTGAAGGGGGAAAAAAAGACTTAGAGGATTTAATAAAATTATTATGCTTGAAGATCTTTCCCAGTAGGTGTAGTGAACTCAAGCGTGCTGCCAGAGGGTTTCTGGAGCGTGTTGGAAGGATGGAGAAGCAAGTGCCGCAAGCCAGGGTGAGCTAGGGAGGCAGGGCCAGGTGGGGAGAGGACGGCGGTGTTCGGATGCTCTGTTAAATATACAGCAAAGCAGCAGCTGCCAAGGGCACCTGTCAGGCTAGATACTCGCCTTTTTCGGCTACGACCTGCCCAATGGGCTGGATATCTGCTTTTTTCAGCTACGACCCAGCGCAGTCTCCTGGCAGCTCTTGCCTGAGGGTGCAAGGAGGCGGTGGTGCAGGGAATGTAAGTGCCTACGTGATCCCACAACTCCTACTGCCATTGCCGAAATCCACAGCATCCTCACACACTTCACCAGGGCTCTCCACGCCTGTCAGACCTCGAGGGCTGAGGGCATCCCCGAGCCGCGCTTTTTCCCCACAGCTGCCCAGTCCAGAAGGGCTCAGACATGGGAAGGGCAATAAAGGGCCACAGCTCCCAGCCAGGCTGCACGGAGCAGGAGCTTGTCAGCCGGATCTACAAACCTGCAGAGATCTCAGCAGACCACAGCCTCGCCAGCGTGCCGTCAGCCAGGGAGAGCACTGGGACGCAGAGGGCTCCGAGTCTTGTCCGCTCCCTCCTTCTGTTTGGCTCCAGAGTCCTCCGCGGAGATTTAAA